AGAAATAGTGACCCACTTAAGAACTGTATGTGGACTATCATCACTAACTGATTCCAGAAGGTGAGTTGGAAGAGTCTGGATTTAACCTCTTCATTTTATAGATGGTGAAATCTGGACCTTGTTGCTAAGAATCCAGGTGCTCAGAGTTCTAAAATTGTACAAGGCAGGGCTGGAGCACTGGGTTTCAGTCACAGCCAAGCAGGTGTGAACAGAGTGTAATGTCTTATGATTCCATAGCTTGATCATGGCCACTTTGCTGGCTGAATTTCATTGCCGACCTGCAGTCCAGCACACTTGGTCGTGTTAGGGACTTTGCATATGCTCCCCACATTCATAATTTTTATTCATCTCTTCAGGTTTCAGGTGAAACATAGATTTATTCAGACAGTTTTCCTGTCCTCCCAGCCTATGTTAGTTCAGCTTGTTGCATGACTCTTAGTACCCTGCATTTCTCTGTAACTGTCACTCTTGCAGACAACTTTCTGTTGTATGTCTGTGTTCCATGCACGAGGACAGGGTTTTGGTCTGTCCTGTTACCATTGTTTACCGAGAACTCAGTATAGGGCCTGATGTATTTGGGTTCATTCAAGAAAACAAAAACAAAACAAAACAAAAGAATAGCAAAGCAACCCTGTCTTCTCATGAGGGGGAGAATGAAGATGATAGTTTGCTCTCACTTGTGATTCCCAGGCAGGAGTGGCTGGAGGAAGCAGGGCAGGCATTGCATTTAATCTGCACACGCAGATCCGGGCACTAGTTGATGTTCCAATGAAATGTACAAATGGGCAGGTGGAGAGCCTGAGCCAATGCCTGTTTTTGCATTGTGTGCTCATGAAAATAAATGCTAAATCAGCCACAGAGGGGATAGAAATTTGATACAAGGGAATACTTTCTAGTATGATATTAAAGATTGCTAAAATGGGTCTGGTAATAGAGGAAGGTTGTGGAAACGCCTCCCCTAAGGGCTTCAGAAAAGAGGCCACAGTTCCATTTCAGCTGGTTATTTTAGGTTTCCCCAGGCAGCAGAGTAGACGAGACATCCTCTTAGGGTCCAGTAGTTCTGTTCCTCTGACCCATAATAAATGAAGCTACAGATGCTCTTGCTGCCAATAAACATGCAAGCACACACACACACAAACTGCTTTTAGCTGTAAATGTTGCTAGTGTGTTTTCTATTGAATATTCTGGATTCACCTTTTGTTTAGAAAATTACCTCAGTCTTTATGCACAGGAAAGCTCTCTCTATGAAAGACTTGCTCCAAATTTCAAAGTGAGAACTGTAATGCATACCAATGTAATTCCTGTGTTGACACACTCACCTAGAAAAAGTGGGGAGTACAACCAGGCAAGGGTATGAAAAGAATACTCTCTTCCTCAAAGTCCCTGCATGGGGGCACAGCGATCTGGACACTGTTGTGTGTCTTAATCCCAGCCAGGAGACTGGGACATATTTTCTCTTTCTCTGCCTTTAAAGTGAGGACGGGAATGGTCTTGAATATGCAAATGAATCTAATTTAATTAACTTTTATGACCACAGCTTCTTTGAGCTAACCATAGGAGCCAATTAGATTCCATTAAAATTCAGTTATTTCCCTCAAGCTTCAATGAGACACCCTTGTCTTCTCCACAAAACAACAACCACAAAAATGTAAAGAGATCTAATGAGAAACAACAAAAAGAGAATAGGTTGTCTGCAGTGACTCTGCGGTTTGATGTCAAGCTGCTTACACAGTGGCCTGCCCCAGGGTCTCACCCCTGATCCTGGTGCTGCAGGTCAGCTGGGTAACTGCTGAGCCTGAGATTGTCATGAAATAAGTGATGAAATGTAAAGGCAATGCTATTTCCTACTGCGAGCAGAAACACAAGCCTTATGGGCTGGGAGAAGGACTGCCCTGACCAGACATGAAGGGTTTTATGCCATTTGCTCCTTTGCTGCCCATTTTGTTGTGTTCTTCCCCCTTTTCCCCCAGACTATAAATATAGTACACATTTATTGTAAAAAGATGAAAGACTACGCTGAATGGCTTAATGATGCTGTCCATATCTGGGAAGAGGCTAGAAAGCACTTCCCCAATTATGTTCCCTTCTTTTCCCCCAAGTGAGCAAGCTTTCAGATGACTTTGCATGTGGTGGGGAAGGGAGTGAGGAGTTTGTGGAGTGGGAGTATCACACTCCAGTGCCTCCCCTTCCTTCTTTTTTTCTCCATTTAAAAAATTATGGTAAGATACAGACATCATTTACAATCTTAGCTATTTTTAAGTTTGCAGTTTTGTAGCATTCAGCACATCTAAATTGCAGTCCACCATCACCATCATCCAAATCCAGACTTTTAAAATTTTCCCCAGCTGAAATTCTATCCCCATGAAAAAGTAACTCCCCAACTCTTGGCAACCACTATTCTGCTTTCTTTCCCCATGAATCTGACCACCTTAGGCAATTCATTTCAAAGTAGAATCTTATAATATTTGTGTTTTTGTGGTTGGCTCCCTTCATTTTTCATTAGGTCCTCAAGGTTCATCTATGTGTTGGAATTTCCTTCCTTTTTAAGGGCTGAATAATATTTCATTGTACACATTTTCTCACTCATTATTCCTTGATGGAAACTTGGGTTGCTTCTACCTTTTGGCTATTGTGAATGGTGCTACTGTGAATAAGGGTACATAAATACCTCTTTGAGACCCTTTGAATATATGCCTAGAACGTTCCTTCTGTTTTAAAGCTATATCCCATGCTATTCATCTCTCTGTTTCTAATACTATGCATGCAATTACCGAGTTGCCAAGGATCCTGAGCCATTGTCTGTAGTTAGGAAAATGTGTGGTGGGCCCACTGAGGATCTGATGCACATGAGCGTGCCTCCAGACACATTCAGCATTGTGCAACTAAGTTTCTGGGAGCTGTGCTGCCTGCTAGTTCCAGAAATGTTTAATGTCACAGGTCTACAAGGCTGCAATTAATTTTAGTGTAGCCACAGGCAATATTTCTACTTCACATAAGTGAGCTATGCCTAAAACAAATGTATTCTGAGGAGTAGTTCGCAGTCTTCAGCATTATGTGATTACATAATTGTGCTGGCTACTATTTGGGAGATAGAGTTAAAGTACTGTAGGTGGCATTTTAATTGAGCAAGTGTAAGAACTCAAAGTTTATATTTCCTACAGTTAGATTTTTAAAATAATAAAGGACTTGAGGTCTAACAAAGGCACACAATTATAAATGATTAGAAAGAAAAGAGATAATAATTTGGGAAACAGTTATTATAGTTAAAAGGAAACAGAGAAATGATAGTAATTAAAAATTTAAAAAAATCTTTTTACCAAGTTTCAACTGTCCTTCTTTTAAAGCCCTTTAGCTTGAGTATTAAAATTACTCCTTCTGCCATGTCCTAGTTCAAGATGAATCACTTTGTGTCTGGATCACCGTAATTTCAACAGTTATTCAACACTTACTACATGCCAGGCATGGTTAGCCTAAAGAATGCACCAAATTATTTTAATCCTTATATTGATAGTCTGAAGTCAGTTGCATCACTTAATATTCATTCTCCTCTTTTTGTTTGTTAACAGAACCCAGCTTTGCTTGGATGTCAACATGCTTAACTAGTTTCCCAGCATTTATTGCTGTTAAGATGACTCTGTGATCTAGTTCTAGCTAATAAAATATAAGCAGAAGTCTATTGTAGGCTTTTGGGAAGCCTTTTTCTTTCCTGATAAATTGAGACACATCAAGCTGGATGAAAACTCTTAACCTGTCCCAGCTTCCTTCTGTCATCGATACAAATGTGATGGTTGTAGCTCTAGCAGCCATCTTGGAAGCACAAGGCAATAAGCCAACGTGCTAAGAAATGCAGAGGCAAAAGGCAGAAGAAACCTGGGATCCAGATGCCATTGTTGAACAGCTAATCTACCTCCAGAGATTGCCTACCTCTGTACTTAGAATTATATGAGAAAAAGAAACTATTTGTGTCAGCTGTTATTTGAAAGATGAAGATTTGATTACTTGCAGCTGAAAGAATTACTAATTCCAAGTGACTATACTTGTAACCTTACTGGATGTTCATGCCTGTGGCCCCTGATGTACCCACGTGGGTTTCACCCTATAAAACTCCTCTGTAAAGTGGGGTCTTTAGCTACCCACTCGGGACCCCTCCTGCCCCTCAGGAGTTTTCCTATCAATAAATACCTTCCCACTTAAAAAAAAAAGAATTACTAATTCCATTTTTCAGATAAGGGAACTGAAAGGCTAAGTGACTTGCTGAATTTGTATAATCTTTCAATGATATGAAGATTTGAATATATATAGTCTGATCTAGAATCTAACGCCTACTCTCTTAGACATTATCACTGACTCATTCTGTCAGACTGCAAGGTCTGCTTATGAGATTTTCAGGAAACCTGAGGTTGATCTTGAGCCTCCTGCTTACATTTCCTTCTTGAAAATGCTTGTATGATATATCTAAAACCAGATCTGACCTCACTTTCTTGTTTAAAGTCCTCAATAACATTTTTTCTTCTAAAGCAGGGATATAACCTCAGCTATCTTGAGAGCCAGGCAGGTTACAGGATTGATGGAAGTAAGGAAGATGTAAGGAAATCAAATGTGTTGGTGTTTTACTTGTCTGTTTCTGTGGAACAAATCACCTCCAAAATGTAGCCCTTTGAAACAACAAATGCTTATGTCTTACATAGTTTCTGAGGATCAGGAAGTAGCTCCACTGAGTGATTCTGGCTCAGGTCTTTGGGGAGCCTGCTGTCAAGATGTGGATGTGGGTTTCAGTCATCTCAGTACATGACTGAACTGGAAGTTCTACCTCAACAAGACTCATGCACATGGGTGTTGACTGGCGGCTTCAGTTCCTCACTATATCGCCTTTGCACAAGCTGTCAGCTGGTTTCCTCTAGAGCCAGTGACCTAAGAGAGACAGTGTCTTTATGAGCTAGCCTTGGAAGTGACATAACATCACTCTGTCATAGTCTCTTGGTTACACCTTACACCAGGAACTGAAGGATCGCTGGGGGCTGTGTTGACGGCTGATGACTACAGGTAGGTATGGGACAAAATGGTGGTGTCTACTGTTCAGCTTCAACTAGTTGCCACTGTGGTGGAACACAAGTCCTATGCCGGTGGATTTTACTGTTCCTCAAATAAAGCCAGAAATATAGATCCAAGTTAGATCTCAGGATAGTAAACGTTGACTGAGAATTATAAAAAAAATCCTATGTGAGATGAACAAAATAAAAATGCAGCCTAAATATGGCCTGGGAGCTGCCATTTGCAACCTTTTCTGGCCCATAGCATGGAAACCATGTATAGATTCAATTTCAATCTGTGTTGTTGCCTAAGACATTTTCAGTAGGATTCTGAGGACATTTTCAGACTCAACAAGGAACGTGGTCATTTAGTATTGTTTTCCACAGATGAAGGAGAGGAAAGTGAAGACATAGGTGACTTGAATTTATACTCATGCCATCGAAGTTTATTGACCAGGATAAGATACTTTTGAGAGCAAATGGAGATGTTATACTAATTATGCTGACATAGTGACCATAATTTGGGATGACTTAGGCAAAGTGGGATGTATAATCACTACCCATAGGAAGTCTCCCCACATCATTCCTCACTATCCATCCCTGTGTGTTAAGGCCACCCCAAAGCACTCACTATTGTCCAAGCCCATGCACACTGCTGAAGTCATTGCCACTCACCTCTTATCCCCCTGTTCATCTCATCACCTTCTCTTCCTCATTTCCCTGTGTCCTCTTGGACTTCAAGTCCCAGTGTAGGCGTCACTTCTGCTGCCTTCACCTGCTTCACCTGCTTCTGCTCCTTCCCAGGCTCCTCACTGTCTCACTAGGGTTTCATAGCATTTGATGCACATACACTCACAGGGAAGTCTTTGTCACAGCAGCCACATACAGGGGCCATCTATTTCTCTCTTGGGACACTTAGGGCTTGTCTCAGTGTCTGGCACAAAGCAGGTGCTTGACGATCACTTAGTGGAAATTTATTTTGAATCTTACCTTCCCTCTTTTCCGCTAACACTCTCTGCAGAAGGTGATAATGAATACTGAAGATTCTAAGAAGATCATAAGAGAGAAGTACATGCAGAAACAGAAAAAGTCCATAAACTCGGTAATTGTTTCTTTTTTTTGATAATTGTTTCTTGAATAAGTATTTACCTAAATAGTCGTTGCAGTATTTAAAAATCCTTCTCTTCCTTTTCAAGTGAATGGAAAGCTGTTTCTATCGTGAATGAGCTTCTGTCTTGATAATAAGAATGACTACTCTCATCTATACTATTGAGACCTGGTGTCTGTATATGCTCTGTTAAGTCTGTCTTCAGAAGTTCATAAAGTAAGCAATGAAAACAAATCCCAGGCAAACACAAGACATGTAGGAAGATTTATTTTCTCATCTGGACATCTGACACTTACTAATACTCATGCACGTTGTCCCTAAACCTCAGAGTGGGGGAATAGAGTCTAATGGGTAGAGGTACTGTATAAATGCTCATGAATGAAATTAAACTGTAAGATGCTAAAGGAGTAGTCCTGTAGGAGTGAAGTGTGTTTGTTGGAAGTGGATAGGGTTAATGGTAGGACACCAGTAGAAGCCACCAAATTATTATTCATTTCATTTCTAGTGACAGAGATGGGGTGAAGTGAAGGATAATCATATGGTGACTTTTCTTTGGTAAGCTTTCATTTGGTCTCAATTGGAAGACCAGGAAAGCGTGAACCAGTTCTGACTCTGAACCTTCTTGGCAGGGAGATTTGGACTAAGTCGTAACATTTTTTCTGAGCCATCTTCCTGGGAACACCTATGTCAGAAGGTTAAAGGGAATAAGTTATGTAAAAGGACTTTGGAGACTGAGGTGATGTCTATGAATGGTCTTTAGGACTATTATCAGGCAAGGTGACCGAGAGAGTGGGAGGGAGGAACAGAATGGAGAACTATAGCTAAGTCACCCTCAGGCCTGCTCTAACTGAAATTCCAGTTATCCTATGAAAACAAAGTTAATAACACTACCCAATAAAGCATGAGTGGTTAGAAATTAGTCTGGGACGAGGTTGGATCTGTCAGGGAGGGTTGATCCGGCCAGCCCTACTTTTAGCCTGTGGCCGGCAGTCAGTTTGTGCTCTGTGATTACCTGCTTTGGAAAAAAGTGAGTCTAAATTGGAAAGCTGTTTCCTCTATTTAAGCCATTTCTACAGAGTCCCATAGTGTTGATTATAGTTCTTACACTCTGCAACTGGCTGTATCATTCTTGACTCATCTCCAGACTCATAAATATCCCCGAGGAAACAGAGATTTAAAAAGTTACCCATCTTTTAACCTTGTGTCTTCATGTGTCCCAGGGAATATCCAAGATGTATAACATCTTGCCCACCTTGTTGTCCCTAAACCTGTTCAGAAGCAAAAACGTTGATAAATTCCCTTTAGATCTTTCATAAGGAGGCAGGCAAATGTAGGACAGTTTCTTGGTGTGACCTTGGATGTTTTCTTCAACTACAGAAAAGGAAATAATAACAACTGTTCTGGAGGCTGCTGAGGGCCTGAGCGAAATGTAAGGAAGAGCACCTGGTACATGGCAAATGTTCAATAGACACAATTGCTGTTATTATTTTTATTAATTAAAACATAAAAAGCACTGAACAGAATGACATTTGAAATAAGTCCTAGAAAATTAATCTATACTTAATAGTCAAGAGGCCATCTATCAGTATTTTCCACAAGCTGACTTAGGAGAAAATCTCTGCCCTAGAGAGAGAAAAAGGTTAGCACGCAAAAATCTAAAATAACAATACAATAGATAGAAAACCATTAAACAGTATAATTCAAGATGGACTGAATGGACCTACAGCTATTATTCTGTTTTAGTTGAAAGGATGCTCAGGGTGTCACGCTGTAATGTATTGAAAACAGCCTGAATTCATACTGTATGCTGCCCCTGGTGTGAGACAAGGAGGTCGCCTCTGAAGCTATCAAGCACCCCGTGTGCCAGCTGGTTGTTAGGCCAGCAGACTGCAAATCTATAGTTAGGAGCTTTTTAGGGTGGTCAGATATAGACCAGCTCTGTCACTCACCGGTGCTGGAGACCTATTCTTAGAGTTTCGCGTCTTAGTTAAAGACCTTGATCCTTATTAAAATGGTAATATCCTTGCTGCCATCCATCACTGACACATTTGTATGAGTGAGCTTGGCTTATGTTTGAAGATTAAGCTTTCCTGGAGGAGAAGGCTCATGGGGAAGCTGGGAAAAATCTCAGCCACTCTGTAAGGAAGGAGTGGGGGATAGATGGAGGTTGGGGGCCCATGGGGCAGTCATTCAGTGACTCTGCTGTCAGAAGTTGATGGGGTCACCTTGCATCCTTAATGTGGTTCTGTTGTCTGTGCCCTTCTGCATACAGCAATGGTTACACTTACAGAAGCGGAGCATGGTTTTCTCCCTTCTTCTACAGCCATGCGTTGCTTAACTGTGGGGATGCTTTCTGAGAAATGCATCATTAGGCAAGTTTGTCATCATGTGAAGAGTGTAGAATATACCTACACAAACTTACATGGCACAGCCTACTGCACATCTAGGCTATATAATATGTAATAGTTGATTGCTCCTATAGCCATGGTAAACAAAACAACACTAGATTAAAGCACAAGAGAAAATGATGGCACCAAGAGACACAGGAAACATGAGTTGGCTGAAGCTGCTGCCAGCTAACACAGCATACTGTTTCATAGTAAACTTTTTTTAGAATTAGTAATACACTTTAAAATTATAATAAAAGTATAATAATACATAAATGATAATCATTTATTATCATTACCAATTATCATGTGGGTATGTAATTGTGAGTATTGTAATTTTGTTTTGTTTTTTGAGACAAAGTCTCTTTATACAGTTCAGGCTGGCCTTGAACTCACTGTGATTGCAGGCGTGCACCACCACATCCAGCATGTAATGTGCTGTTCTTTTGTGTGATTGGTGGAGCAGTAGATTTGTTTCCACAAGCATCAATGCCAACACGTGAGTAGTGTGTTGCATCATGAAGGCTATGATGTCACAAGTTGATAGGAATTTTTCAGCTCACTTATAATCTTCCAGGACCACTGTGATAGATCTGGTCACATTGACAGAAACTTACGTGGCACATGACAGTGTTTGTTTTAGAAACCAGGAAGGGCAGGTGTTAACATCTTATTGGCAAGAAAAATGAGGTGAGAAAGTGAGCATCTAACTTCTTTGTAAAGCCTTTCCTTTCTATGTAAATAGTCTCTGGGACCTGAAAAATATTGAACCAACTGAACAAAAGCATAATGAGCATTTTAATAGCCTAAGGTGGATAATATAGTTCTCCTGGTGGGAGAATTATTGAGTAATGTTAAATCATCTTTCTTCATGAAGATATATGCATTTTTAAATTGACCAGGAACTAACAAAGACTGAACTGGAACAAAAGTTGTTTGAATAGTATCTGAAAGTGAGGTTTCATGGGCTGTGAGTGGTTTGCAGAGCAATGGATGAAGTGATATGAAAACAAAAAGTAGATTTACTATCCGTTCTTATTTTTTTTGCTACCAGGGATTGAACTCAGGTCCTTGCGCTTGCGCAGCAGGCAATGAAACCACGAAGCTAAATCCCCAGCCTATCCATTCTTATTAATCACAGATTTTTCTTTGGCATATTCATTTCTTGTTTGTGTCAGTTCCCCACTGGCACAAAGGAACGGACTGCGTCTCTATTCTGTACTGTTCCCTTCAGCACAGTGGCTGGCATATGGCCATGGCAGGACAACTTTACAGTTCAGTCTCATCCACTGGTCCCTTGTTACCCTTTTCAGAAATTTCCTTTATTATAAGTACTAAAATGAGATACCTGAAGGTTGTTTAATATAAAAACTCAATCCTGACAGGAAATAAATACAATAATCATGAAGGTATTCTCTGCTAGATACAGATTAGCGTAACTCTATATTTTCAACATCTGTCATTTTAAAATAAATTATTCAACATTATTAGATTTCTTATAAATGGCATCGATCAGTTAGCACCATAGAGCTGAGTCTGGAAGCAAAAAATTATTTTTTTCAGGCTAGGTTGGTGAAGCCCTTAACTTTCTATTCCGCAGAAAAGATTAAAGCAATCTCGGCTCTCACCGGGTTCCCTCCCTTCTTCCTCTGTTGAAGATTTAATTAATGTGCATGTTATTTTGGGCTGCTCTTCCCAACCCCACTGGACATAGGCAGAGGTAAGAGTTTGAACAGGGAGAACAGGACTGAAGCTTCCCTGCCCCACCACTGGATGAGGCAAATCTGGCAAGTCCTGTTTAGTGGCAGTGAGTCAGACTCCTGTGTTCATTGCTGAAGACATGCTTTTAGGTAGCAGTCCCTGCCGGGGGTTCACATATTGAAATGAATCATTGTCCTCTCTGTCAGTTTTGCTCTTCATTTGTTTAATATGTTTCATCTGTACTTGGAGGTAGTAAGAATCATCAATTTATTGTGTTTATTATCACATTTACGCTTTGGGTTTTCTGCAAATGAAACCCACAAAAAATATGCTGCTTAAAGGGCAATTAGCATCCTGCATTGTCAAGATGTTTGGTTCTATGACACCTCTTAAGGTTTAATAAGATGAAGTATTTCTTTTTTTAAAAAAAGTCTCCAGTTTAGGGTAACTAGCTTATTTTGGTTTGCCAGGGACTTTCCTGGTTTGAAAGCTGAAAAGTCCCACATCCCTGGGACCCTTTTAGGCCTGGTTAAACTAAGACAGTTAGATAGTGTAGTAATTGAGAAACTTTATGAGAATCTCTTGAAAACAGCAAATGCAGCTGATCTGGAGTTTAGCATGGCACTTAAAGGCTAATAATTCTCCACCAATGCAAAGAAACAAAAGTCAATAGGCAGTAAAAGCATACATGTTTTAAAGAATTGCCTTGTACAGAGTTCTTTGAAGCACCACTTTTTGGAACCAGTCTGGGATTTAGACATTTGTGCCTTGTTCCTTTTTGGTCCAGGGAACTCAAGGTCAAGTTATTCAGAAGCATTTGAAGTTGTTTGGAGAACTGTGAAGAATTTCACCAGACTAAACACATTACACATTTCGAGATTGATTCCAAAGGGGCTGATGATGATA